TTCCTTAAGCCATACTATCCAAAATAGAATCATTGGGTCAAATGAAAACCATTTGAAAGCTTTTGACATACCTGGTCAAACTACATTTCAGAAAGTTGAAAAAAGATCCTTCATCCAATACATTGAGTCTTGTTTAAAATCGGTCATTTTAAAAGTTAGTTATGACGAGTGAGTGGTATATTGGGGAATGTGTGTGTATATTCCTTTAGAAACCTGAGAAGGTCGTAGCAGAAGGACTTTAGTTATGCTTGAAGAGTTCTTAATATTGAAAACTCAGATAGTGAATATTGAAAGCTCAACAGCCACGTCTGGAATCAGTTACTGAAACAAGTGAGATCTGCTTTTCTGGGGCAAGAAATAGCTGGCTGCTAGTTTTGGGTCATTCATTAATTAGGCCAGTATTTACTGGGGTGCGCTGGGACCTAGGCAGTCTGACTACAGAAAAATGACCTCTAGAGAACCTGAAGGTATCTGTGTGAAAAGATAAGGGTTTAAGTCATCTGATGATAAATGAGTATCAATGGGACAAACAGCTTTAAACAATCAGGAAGATTATTTCCCTGAAGAGATAAGTGGTTTGATAATGAAAAGCCTGGTTGTTGGGAAATACCTGTTTTGTCAGTTATTCTGCTGGTGACATTTTATCTTAAAATCTTTGAGCACCTCACTTTTTGGCCTGATTTTTATCCTAAGTAAAATTGCGGTGATATTATGGTTTCTGGGATATTGGTGTGAAATGAATTAGGTAATTACACGTATATTTTTATGGAAAATTAGCACATTTTGCTTTTATTATTACATAGGGTTCACATAGTCCCATTTATAAAGAAGTTATCAATTATTTATAGTCATTTTAGAAGTACATAAGGAATTTATTTTTTGTGTGGTTTTTATTTAACCATTTATTGCATTTTTTAAAAAAAATTCCTTTTTTTCCTTGTTTTTCCTTTTTTTTTTTGTGCATTTTTCCGTCTCAGTTGTAATTCCCATGGACGTCCCATCACCAGTTCACCCATGTGCCATCACCATAGTCCAGTGCATTCTTCCCAGCCCAGTTCTGATCCCATTGGAATTTATTTATAATCAGCTTTCCTTTTTCCTTGTTATTGGGGGAACCCATTGAGAGAAGGTGACTATTTGTCACCTAAGAGCTGTACCAGACCAGTCTGAGGTACTTCATCCCTTTACCTTCAGAATGTGTGGCATAGTGACCCAGAAACTGCCCTAAGGGTACAGTCATTTTTTTTTCTGTTTTATTTATTTATGCATATAGAACTGGGTTCTAGGCAAGTGGTTTGGGGTGACAGGATTCACCAGAGACATTGGGGAGCAGTACAGGCAGGTATACTGAAATACACTGCTGACAGAGCATCAGGTAAGACAGGAGAGGTCTGCTGCAACATATGGGTCACCCCCCTAGCCAGGGATCAAACTCAGGCTGCAGTGACTGGTGATAGCTTCATAGTTCTGCGCTTTAACCCCTTATGCTACCAGGGAGGGCCCTGATAGTACAGTACAGTGTTAACAGAGAATGTGAATGAGGCTCTCTGAAACATGCATGTCACTGGCCTCAGTTTTGGTAGGCAGGTATGGAGAATTACTATTTTCCTGTTGCCTTATAAGTTTCCCTGCTCTTTAAAATTGTCACCTAGGAATCTGGGGTGGTTTGTGACTTTTCCTTATTCTCTCCTTGCTCTCTGCTTTTGAGCCTGGCTTTGGGTTACACCTGGGGAGCTCCCAAGGATGCAGCCCAATACTTGTGGGGAAGCAACAGCTCAGAGAGGACTCCAGTTTTCTTTTGTGGCAAGTGTGAGGGGGCTCGCTATTGAAAAGGGCTGAAAGTAGAAATTGGAGTTGGGGAGATTGTTTACCCTTTAGTAGAAACCAAGGCTGTGGGCAAAAGCAGTGGCATTGTAGAGAACTGCTCCGTTGGGGGTTAAATCTTCAGAAGTTGGTTCCTCATTTGTCAAGTGGGATACAGGGCAGGGAGGACTGCAGGTTGACCGATTTCTGGAATCTTCCTTTATTTCTGCTTTGACTATGTAACAGCTATAAAAAACCAAACAAACAACTTTAGTCCTATGTCGTGGTTACATTGTCATGTTCTGGGTATAAACAATGTCTGCACCTAGGAGATTAGAATTAGAATTTGAATGGTGCTTTATACTTCCTTGGGGAGTGTTATGAACCATTGTATTTCTTTACAGAAATGAAGTTACTGCGGCATATGGAAATAGGTCTTGAAGACTAACAGCTTTAGAAGGAAAGAATGATAAATGTTGTTTGTCCTGAATGCTCAAGACTTTTAATCATAACCTCTGATTTCTTTCCATATAAATTTTGTGTCTAAATGATTGAATCTGTAGCTACACTCCCATTTTATAATAGGTAATTTCTCTAGCGATGGAACATGGATGGTGTTCCAGGGCCATTCTTTAAGAGTATTTATTTCACATGGATCAGAAATTTTTGTTTCTCAAGAAGGTGACTATGGGACTCTGAGCGTAGCACTCAGAGGCCACTGTTACGTCTCTGGATCAGATTTTGGATTTATGTGTCCTTTGGGGTCAGCAAATAAATTGGTGATTCCTTGTGATAACAGGCATTTGAGGGCAAATACAGCTTGTCTCTTGTCAATTCTTGCATGATTAGAAGGGAATTATAGTAACTTGCTCTGGAATTAATTCAGAGACAGTTAAATGCTCTCAAGGTCAAGGTTCGTTCATTTTGCCCATTCAAACTCACATCTGTGCTTACAAGTCTGAAAATCTTAAAAAAAAAAAA